ATATATATATATATATATATATATGGTTTTTATTTTGAACTTTTGTGTATAAAACTGTGGTTTTAGAAACGGAAGGTCAGGACAGTCTTAGAAAAGCTATTATCTCTATTCTCCAGAATTGCTGGCCTTCTGATTAGGCCTTCTGATTACAAAGCTTGGTAGACCTAATCCCTGTCTCTGCATTCGCCTAACAGTGACAGGTGGCTGAACCCTCTTCATTCACTAACACTTCCAGGGTATCTGAGAGACTCACCTGAGACCCTCACTGCTAGTGCTTTTTTATTCCATTTTATTTGTATGCTGCATTGTTAAAAAATGTGAAGATAAAAAGGAATTAGGCTGATGGTAAGAGGTGAAAAAATAACAGACATTTGCATGTGAAGGAATCCCAGAAAATGTAGTCTGTGAGTACTGTTTACTTGCTCTATGCCTGCCACTGGACACTTCTGGGCCTCCTAGCAGCCTAAGTGATAAGGGAAACATGATTCTCAGCAGCAAGCCAAACTGAGACCTTATCAAGGGGCTCTGCCCTGAAGGCTCCAGTGAGTCAGAGGGGAGCCTCCAGGCACGGGTAAGTCTGTACTCAGAAGGGCACAACTGGCTGGATATAACCAGATCCTTCCTGGAAGCCAGTCTGTCCAGGAAGCCAAGGAACATCTGCATCGGTCTGACTTCAGCAGGTCCACAGAAGCTCTTTATACTCAAGGAGTAAATTTATTTGCCTCTCTGAGTTTCTGTCACCTTGCTAAGGCCTTTGGTCACTGCTGCCAGGGGATTAAGTCTTGATGGAAGCCTGGGCCCTGCCCTCCACTCCTTATGGTTGGATAAGTCTAGACTAACTTGGGGTGTGCTCTTCTGTGCCTCAATGGGTCCCCCAAGTAAGTCTGTGGCCCCACTTGGCCCTAACTTGGGGTGTGCCCCACAGAGGCAGGTCCCACATAGAGGAAAATAATCCACCAGAAAGAGCAGAGCTGCCTTGCTAGGTCCCAAAGTGCCATGGGTAGGTCACTCTGGAAGCTTCCACCATGCTGACTCAGTCTACAGTATTGCCTTGTGCCTGCTTGGTTACTGCCATGGCAGGAGCTCCTGTCTACAACCTTGCTTGGGCCTGGCCCCCTTGTCCTTTTGCTCACCCTGCTGGCCTGGTCTAACGGGTCTCATTTTGCCAGTCCAGGGCTGGAATCCATTGTGTAGAGAGGAGCCCAGAAGGCCCATTTGAAAATGTTGCCAATGAGCAGCCCCTCTCTGCCCTCCCTCCACAAGACAGTGGAGACCAGTCCCACCCCTGCCCTGGGACAGCTGACATTTAGCAGGGGTCAGGCTCTATTCCCTATTGTCCTACCTGTCTGCAGTCAGCTGTGCTAGCAACCCTAGGGCAGCTCCAAGGCTCAGGCATTGAAACTGGAGAATATCTAATAGGATAAGTACTTCACCAACCATTGGGATTAGCAACTGAACTGTTCCTCACTACTTGCTCAGGGGAGGCCATGAAGACCTTGGTTCAGGACCTCAATCAACTGGGTTCACAGCCAACTAGGTAACTTTAAGGAGGTACCTAAAGCCCCAAGGTCCTGATTTCCTCTTTGATAAAATTAAAGAGTTGGAGGAAGTAGTCCTAGGTCAATCATTTCCCGATTCTGTGCCTTATGACCATGAAGTTTAGAGAAAATTACATTGGGGGCTTCCAGCCTTGAGTGTTGAAAGCAACATTAGCTTACTGAGCACCTTCGGTACACCAAGAATTCTGGACCCATTTCACAGATGTAGAAACTGAGGTTCAAAAGGTGAGAAGCTGTGTTCAAGGTCACAGTATTTTCAATCCAAGTGTGTATCTTTTCTATTCTTCCCCTGATGTCCTCAGAATTAGGAAGTAAGGGGGAGATATGGTAGGATAGCACCCAGAGAACCAGAGAAACAAGGAGTAGCCACCAAGAGGAACATTTTAAGGGGAAGAATGTTCTAGGTAGAACAGTGCCAGGTTTCTGTCCCAGCCTCTTCTGTGCCTCAGTAGGTCCCCCCAAGTGAGTCTGTGGCCCCACTTGGCATTTTCATTGGTTAAATGGGTGTAACCTCCTGGCCCACCTGCCTATCTGCCTGGGTTCAAGGACCAAATGAGGCGGATGGTGGCAGTCAGAAGTGCTATCCATGTACTAGCTGATTCATGAGATGAAATGTCCAAATAAAGTGTGGGGTTTGGTTAATAGTGACATGCCAGTGTCCTAGTTGTGAGAAATGTACATGGTGGTGTTAGATATTAATAATAGGGGAGGTATGTAAAGAACCCTCTGTACTATCTTTGCAACTTTTCTGATAATCTAAAAATATTCTAAAACTAAAAGCTTATTTTAAAATGGAGATACAAACATCTCCATTCCATAAAACTAATTTACAAATTAAACTACAAGTGAACAGCAAATAGTTATATCATGATCAGTCATGAATAGAGAATGATTTCATTCAAAATAACCATGTAATATTATGTGAAATTTAAAAGGAACTAGTAAATTTATTTCTACTGATATGAAAATCTTTAAAATTTATCATTGATTGGCTCAGCACCTCTAGCTCAGTGGCTAGGGTGCCAGTCACATACAAGCAGGGCTGGTGGGTTCAAGCCTGGCTTGGGCCTGCCAAACAACAATAATAACTACAACAACAAGAAGAAAAGAGCTGGGCATTGTGGAGGGCGCCTGTAGTCCCAGCTACTTGGGAGGCTGAGGCAAGAGAATCGCTTAAGCCCAAGAGTTGGAGGTTGCTGTGAGCTGTGACGCCACAGCAATCTACTGAGGGTGACATAGATTGTCTCAACAAAAAAAAAATCTATCATTGATTGAAAACAACATGGTTAAACTTAGTGTCCAATAAGATAATATTTATGAAAAATACTAAACAAAGAACAGAAAAATTAAATGTAAAACCAGAGATATAACTCAAATTTTTTTCTGCCTGAGCATCATATGTGGGATATGGGGTAATTAAGGAGAATTTTACATAATTTCATTCTTTAAATTCGTTAGGAGTGTGTTCCCTTGAGACCTGGGAATTTTTTCAGTGAACAAGTATTCAAAAGATTTGTGAAAACGACCACAAAAAAGATAGATGGGACAGGAGGGAGGGAGGGAGGAAGAGAGACAAGAATAGCACCCTTGGGGCCTGTGAGCCCCCTGGGGCAGGGCCTGGTCTGTGGGGTTGAGCTTTTCCCTGGATGCATTTTGCTCCTGGAGCCAACCCTAGCAATGAAGCTGGTAGGGCAGGGTGGGGCTGGGCTGCAGAGGGGTATTGTGGCTGCCTGGCCATCTCTGTGAGAACAAAGGGAGTGTCCTTGAGGCTGCTGCTTTCAGGGGCCTTGGTCCAGGTAAGTTGACTCTTGGGGGCAGGAAAAGACTCCATGCAGGAGCGCCAGGCACTGGCCAGGACATTGTCAAACAGTGATAGCAGAGACATCATCAGGTCCCTTCCCTCAGATGGCCCTGACCTTGTGCTCTTCTCCCTCTTTTCCTGCAGGATGAAGATGAGACGCTACAAGCTCTTTCTCATGTTCTGTATGGCTGGCCTGTGCCTCATCTCCTTCCTGCACTTCTTTAAGACCCTGTCCTATGTCACGTTCCCCCGAGAACTGGCCTCCCTCAGCCCTAACCTAGTGTCCAGCTTCTTCTGGAACAATGCCCCCGTCACGCCCCAGGCCAGCCCGGACCCGGGAGGCCCTGACCTGCTGCGGACCCCCCTCTACTCACACTCACCCCTGCTGCAGCCACTGTCACCAAGCAAGGCCACTGAGGAACTCCACCGGGTGGACTTCGTGCTGCCTGAGGATACCACCGAGTATTTTGTACGCACCAAAGCTGGGGGCGTCTGCTTCAAACCAGGCACCAAAATGCTGGAGAAGCCGCCACAGGGGCGACCAGAGGAGAAGCCCGAGGGAGCCAACGGCTCCTCGGCCAAGCGCTCGCCCCGGTACCTGCTGAGCACCCGGGATCGCGCGGGCAGCCGGGGCCTGAGGCGCAAGTGGGTCGAGTGCGTGTGCCTGCCCGGCTGGCACGGGCCCAGCTGCGGCGTGCCCACCGTGGTGCAGTACTCCAACCTGCCCACCAAGGAGCGGCTGGTGCCCCGGGAGGTGCCGCGCCGGGTTATCAACGCCATCAACATCAACCACGAGTTCGACCTGCTGGACGTTCGCTTTCACGAGCTGGGCGACGTGGTAGACGCCTTTGTGGTGTGCGAGTCCAACTTCACAGCCTACGGGGAGCCGCGGCCGCTCAAGTTCCGCGAGATGCTGACCAACGGCACCTTCGAGTACATCCGCCACAAGGTGCTCTACGTATTCCTGGACCACTTCCCGCCGGGCGGCCGGCAGGACGGCTGGATAGCCGACGACTACCTGCGCACCTTCCTCACCCAGGACGGCGTCTCGCGGCTGCGCAACCTGAGGCCGGATGACGTCTTCATCATCGACGACGCCGACGAGATCCCGGCCCGCGACGGCGTCCTCTTTCTCAAGCTCTATGACGGCTGGACCGAGCCCTTCGCCTTTCACATGCGCAAGTCGCTCTACGGCTTCTTCTGGAAGCAGCCGGGCACGCTGGAGGTGGTGTCGGGCTGCACTGTGGACATGCTGCAGGCCGTGTACGGGCTGGACGGCATCCGCCTGCGCCGCCGCCAGTACTACACCATGCCCAACTTCCGCCAGTACGAGAACCGCACGGGCCACATCCTGGTGCAGTGGTCGCTTGGCAGCCCCCTGCACTTCGCGGGCTGGCACTGCTCCTGGTGCTTCACGCCCGAGGGCATCTACTTCAAGCTGGTGTCTGCCCAGAACGGTGACTTCCCCCGGTGGGGTGACTACGAGGACAAGCGGGACCTCAATTACATCCGGAACTTGATCCGCACCGGGGGCTGGTTTGACGGCACGCAGCAGGAGTACCCGCCAGCCGATCCCAGTGAACACATGTACGCCCCTAAGTACCTACTCAAGAACTACGACCAGTTCCGCTACCTGCTGGACAACCCCTACCAGCAGCCCAAGAGCACCGCGCAAGGCGGGCGGCGCCACAAGGGCCCGGAGGGGAGGCCACCTGCCCGGGGCAAATCGGACGAGGTTGAAGGCTAAGGCTGCATGATCTTATAGGGCCCATGGCAGGGTCGGGAGTGGTGGCCGCCCCTAGAATGATCTCCCTGCCTCCTTCCACTGGCTTGGCTTGATGGCTCTTGAGAGGACCAGGAGTGGGTGGGCGGGTGGGTGTATGGAGCTTACTCCATTCCAGCCCTTGTCAATCAAGGGGCAGGCCTTTGTTCTCAAAAAAAAAAAAAAAAAAAATTCCTTCCTGTCAGGAAAGTGGCCCCTTTGCCCACCAAGAGTGCTGTGGCCAGGAGGTGCTGCTGGAGGAGGGGGGATACACGGTGGTCATTGGGCAGAAGGGGAGGGCAGACAGGGCTGTCTGTGGAGGAATCCCACAGGAACTTTCCAGAGAGTCCATGGGGGCGTGGCCTGGCTTGGGAGGAGCCTACTCTAAACAGGCAAGCCAGGAGGACCAGGAGCTCTGTAAATAGATGCATTTGGGTTCACGAGGAAGAGGAGACAGCTAGGAAGGAGGAAACCAGGACGTGCTGGTTGATGCTTTGCAGCATTAGCAGAAGTGCTGGGCAGGAGGGAGAGGAGAATTCCACCCAGTGTTGCAAACGATAGGACCCCTCTGCACCGGGAGGCTGTGCCTAAGTACCTCTGTGCTCCTCCACTCCTCAGGACCTGACAGCATGGGGCTGGGGAACCCCGGGGAGTCTTCCTTTGGGTTCCAAACCTGGTCTTGACATTCCTTCTTTCTATATTGCTGGCTTGTGGGCTGCGCATTCAAGTCCTTCCAAGGCCAGGAGTCCAGTTGTAGGTGGGACTTGGGGGAAGGAGGAATAAAGAGGAAACTGACAGCAGGCCCCAGCATCCATCCACCCAGCCTCCCCATCACCGTCCCGGCTGGCACCCACCGCCCCAGCTCTGCACCCTCCCTGGTTGGGATCACCCTGTGCCCCTCCTTGGGGAAGGTTAGGGGCCAGGAAGGGCCTTCAAGGCTTTCCTGGGCCCAAGAAGGGACATTAAGGCCAGTTGTATGTCCTCCCATTCCTCACAGTTTGCCTTGGGGAGGTGTATTTTTTGTGATTAAGAGACCCTGAAATACAGTAGTTTATGCAAGACAGAGCTTGTTTCTAATTAAATTGTCCAGAGGAAGATGGTCCCGAGCTAGTGGAGCAGCTCTGTTTTTCCTCATACACACCTTCCAGTTCTGGACACAGAGTGGCTGCTCCACCTTCCACCATCCTGTGTGCATCCACACCTGGGTAAGCAGAGGTTGCAAGGGATGCGGACCCCTTTCCTGTTAAAGGCAGGAGCCAGAAAAGGCACTGTCACTCTGACAGCATCTCATTGGCCAGGCCTAAGTCACATGGCCACAAACAGCTGCAAGGGAAGCTGGGAAGTGTAGTCAGGTGGGATGCCATATGCTCCGCCTCAACCCAGAAGTTCTCTTATTAATGGAGGAGAGAATGGACACGGGAGACAAGTAGCATCTCTGGTGGGAAGGTGGCATTGGGGGAGGGGGGAGAAATGACTCAGTCGTGGACCCTGCTCTCATTGTCAGAGCTTCTGGAACACCTGCTTCCACTCTTCACTGTGCCAACCCAGGGCCAAGGTGCTGTGGGAGCTGCAGCTGTGTGGAAAGGGGCAACTCCTCCCACTGCCCTCTCAGACATCACTTAATGATCCCGTGTGCAGAGTCTGCCTGTGAAGTGGTACATGTTTCTGGGTGTGTGTGTATATTTATGGGCATGGGTGCATGCTTGGTGTGTATTTGTACGTGTCTGTATTGATGTGTTCCTGTAAATACAAGCTTGTGTGTGGATGTGGGAGCACAGGCCCAGGTGTCCTCTTCCCCAGGACCTGGAGCCTGTGGCCATATCTTCTGCAGCTCCCCCCAGATGACTGGGCTGTTAAGCCCTTGGGGAGCCCAGAAGGCAAGGATAAAGGAGATGCAGGGTCTGTCTGTCTGTCTTTCAGTCTGAGGAGTGGGAAGTGTCCCAACCTGAGGGCTGTGCAGCTAAGAGCCCACTACCTCCCCAGCCCTTCTAGGTTCCTGCTCCCCTCACCCACAGTGGCTTTTCTAGATGTCTTAGTGGAGGTTCCTGATGGGCCAGGGGAGGAGGCTATCTCTTATGCATCTGCTCCATCTGGGGGAAGTGCCAGGCACAAGTGTGGTGTAGGGAACCAGCCTCAGAGCAGCCTCTGGTGGGCAGGCATGAAGCAGGCTGAGGGCCTAGGTGGACCCACTCTTGCCCCTGTTCAGGGGCTCCTCTGAGTGAACCCCTCCTTTAAAGTCATAGCAGCCTTCCTCTCTGGTCCCTCTTGGGGATGAGAGGTGGCTCAAGAAGTCAGGGTGTCTCTGTGGCTCTGGGTCATTCCAAGCCAAGCTGCCCTCCTGAGCAGCCTCTGTGTGCCCTGTGGACAGGTGGTCTCTGGGGACCCCTGGAACATACCTGAGCCCTTGCCCAGGGCCTCCCTCCTTGACAGTTTCCTAATCCCACACCCTGGCACCCTTACCTGGTGGCCTCCAGTGCTCAGGAGTAGGTAGAGAAACTTGGACTTGTCAGGCCCAAACTCAGTGGGGCAAGGGACTGTTCACAGCACTGTGGGTAGAGACCTAGTCAGAGGGTGGGATTGAAGAGCTTCACATACAATCACAGCATACACTGGGAATTTGGGGGGGCCCATGGCCACTCCCCTGATGTGAAGGGAAACCAAACTAAATGTGAATGCCAGCACACTGCTGTCCTGTGGCCGTGTCTGGATTTCTCTCCTTGGGAACCACTAGCCCCTTGACCTCTAGACCCAAGTGGACTCGTCCATGCCAAGCATCCAGGGAACACAGCTGGCTCCTTCTACACATGGGTCATGGTCGGTTTTCAGGAGTGGCATAGGAGAGCTTTGGGATCAAAGGGAGAACTGGGTGAGGAGACTGAGGGGACTTGCCCAAGCAGAAGGCAGGGCCCTGGGAAAATGTATAATTTAAGGACATCAATAATAATAATAGTATTATTTTTTTTGTAAGGGAAAATCAATATGTACATTCTGAAATCATTTTCTCTGTAAATGGTTGGATTTCATTTCACCCTTAAAGGGATGCTTAAAGGAAAAGATAATATTAATAATAAAAACAGGTACAAAGTTCAAAGAGTGTGCGTGTGAGGCCAGTTTATGGGTGCTGTGGGACAGGAAGGGGTGGGAGCAGGTGGCTGTGGTCTTGGTAAAGATGCCCTTGCCGTCAGGTCTGAACCAATGAGGTATGAGACCTTAAAGGACTGGATGGCTGGTGGGATGAGGAGAGGTATATAGAGCACCTTCCCTTATGGACAAAATTACCCTCCAGGCACAGGTGGAAACAGCTTGGGAGTGGAAGATGCTGGATGAGGGTCCAACAGAAGTAAGCTTAGCTCACAGGATTGGTATCACCCACCCTCTAGGTGGGGTCCCTTTGGGGACCTGGATGCAGACTTTGGTGCCAAGGCAGGAAGGAGATGATTCTCCCACAGTTCTGCTCTGGGCCATCAAAACAAGTGCTCCTACCTCAGTCTTTTTCTTCCCTGTCTGTCAGGGGCTTAAAATGCCTTGGCCAAGGTCACACAGCCACTTAAATTCCTAGTGCCAGCCCTCTAGGTGGTGGGTCAGGACAGTAACCTCCTCTCTGGAAACAGTCATCCCCTCCCCATGGAGCTGATCTTGGACTGTGTTGTGACTATCTGGAGCCTGGGAATATGGAGTCTTCCTGGGGGCCTCCTTTGGGCCAGGTGGGTGCTGGCATTGTCCTGGGAGCCCCCTGTATGAGACTCTCTTAAGGGGAAAGTCTCAAAATGGTGGAAACAGATATGCTGAGCTCAGCCTTGGTCCTCTCTGGGTGGCTGTGCAACCTCCACATTAGACGGGGAGACTGAGGCCCAGGGATGGCAGAAAGAGTAAAACTAGTGTTGGTGGTTGGTGGCCACAGCAGGGGCTAATGTCTCCTGAGCACTCACAAAGTGCCATGCATGTGAAAATTGGGAACCTGAGGGCCAGGATGGACTTCTGGACACATTCCCAAAGCCCAGGAAAGCACCTGCTGCAGGTACTTGGTCTGGGGCTGAGGGTGGGGACTGAATGCCACAGGACTGAGGGAGTAGATGAGATCTAGACACCCCCTAGACAGAAGAGGGTAATAGTGACTCACCCCTTCTTTAAGTTTACAACCCTTAAATCTGTCCTAAGGTGTACCATCAGCATCGTAAATATTTGCAGATGTTACTTATTACGTGCCTATTTGGTGCAAACTCCGGGTCAAAAGATTTTCCTCCCCCTTATTCCCACTGTACAGGCGGGAAAGTGAGGCATAGACACCTTACCTAGAGTGGTGAAAGGCAGAGTCAGTTTGCTTAACATCAGAAGCTGAGCTCTTGACTGCCAAACTGCACTCCCTCTGTCATTGTTCACTGGGGGAGGAAGAGGATGGGGACAGAGGGACAAGAGGAGAGGGGGGCACTAATGTTCAAAGATCCTCCAAGCAGCTAACCAAGCCTGGCATGGTGCCTGCTTGGGGAACGTGTGGAGGATGGTCTCTGCTCTCAGGAGCATCACAGTCAATAGGGCACACAGGTTAGCTCAAGCTCAGAAAGGCAAAGGTGAGGCTGGTGCCAAGTTATCAGAGCCCAGGGACACATTGTGTTGTGTGTGTCTGCCAGCATCAGCTATCACTGTCTCCCTCAGCTGGCTGTCTGGCTAAGTCGGGGGGCACTGACCTGCCCCCACACCCACCTGGCTTGTGACCTAGGAGGGGATGCATATTCTCTTCCAGACTGTCTCCTGTCTATAAAAAGAGCCCACAGGCTCAGTGCTTGTAGCACAGCAGTTATGGTGCCAGCCACATACACCAAGGCTGGTGGGTTTGAACACAGCCTGGGTCAGTTCAACAACAATGCAACCAAAAAAAATAGCCAGGCATTGTGGCAGGCACCCATAGTCCCAGCTACTTGGGAGGCTGAGGCAAAAGAATCTCTTAAGCCCAAGAATTTGAGGTTGCTGTGAGCTGAAATGCCACAGCACTCTATCAAGGGCAACATAGTGAGACTCTGTCTCAAAAAAAAAAAAAAAAAAAAAAAGAGCCCACAGATAGCTTCACTGCACCCAAATGAGAAAATGAAACAGAGGGAACTATTTTGCAACTGGTAAAGCCTCATCCAGATGGGAGAGATGACAGCAATGAAGATAGCCTGCCATTAAAACACCCA